ATAAGCCACTGACCTTTTTCATACTGCCCTTGTTTCACTTATTTCCCATATGGTCAAAAGACACTTTAAGACAGTATAACTGTTAGTTATAGTATTTTGACCCTGTATAAAATGGATGTTTTGGTTCGTATCATTTAGAAAATGAGAAAAGCAGTAGAAATAGTCAGCAGTCTAGGAACATTTAGAATGTGTCTAAGTTATTAAGTTCTTTGGGTATCTAAGATAAATGAAAGCATATATCTACACAAAGTCACATAATTCAGAACAACCCAAATGTCTGTCAATAGGTGAATGGATAAAATAATTGTAGTATATCCCTATAATGGAATGCTAGTTAGCAATAAAAAGGAATGAACTATAAATACAACATGATTGAATCTCAAAATAATGCTAGGTGAAAAAGTTATGATTCCATTGCCAGAAAATTTGAAAAATATAATGTCAACTTTACTTTCTTAAATTAAATTTGTCTTTAGCAAATTCTAAGCTATGTAACAGTATATCCATTTTTGAATAGTACAAGGCACATAAATGAAGGTCCTTTCCACCCCATAATCAAAGGAAGATTACTTCAGTAAACTAGAAATCCAAATTTAGAAATGGAGAATAACTCTAAAAATATACATTTTATAAATAGCTTGGCTTAGTGATAGCAGTTTATGTTGACAATTCCAAAAATAGAGGGGGAAAAAGCCATTTCTTCCAACTATGCAAGATAGGCCCCGCCATGCCCCATTTTTCCAACACAACTTTCAACAGTCAAAGATATTTCATTATGTTTGAAGTTATTAAAACATTTAGCCAATGTTTAGAATGTTTCTTTAAAAACATTACATTTTTAAAAAATATACTTTTTTTATTGATTTCAGAGAGGAAGGGATAGAGAAAGAGAGAGATAGAAACATCAATGATGAGAATCACTGATTGGCTGCCTCCTGCACACCCCACACTGGAGAAAGAGCCCACAACCCCCGCATAAGCCCTGACCAGAACCGAAGCTGGTTCATAGGTCGATGCTCGACCACTGAGTCACGCCAGCCAGGCTGCTTTTTAATGTTGTGCCTTTACCAAAATATCTTCAACTTCAGAAACATTTCTGACTAAAAATTGTGAAGATATGGATTTGGGGATAATCATAATAACTATATGATAATCCTAACTTGTGAAAAGTAATATCCAAAATAGATTTGCAATTTGGTGTGCCCAGCATTATCTTGAGGTTCACACTCTTTCTGACAGAGCTCTGGAGTTAGGTCTTTTGTAATTTGTATTACTTAGGAAAGTAATAGAAGTCATTATAGCACTCTTCAAATGATGGGACCTTAATGGGGAAAAAAAAAAGGTAACCTATTAGTGTTTGCAGGGTGTGAGGCTAAATCTCCCCCGACCCCTTTTATACTAAGATGTCAACATGCACATTAAAAATAAAATATAAAATATTCACAGGAAAACACATAAATGAATCTATGGTTTATATTCAGTATTAGGACTTCGAAAAGAAGAGAGATAATCTTAGGAGAAGTGTTCAGTGGATTCTGAAACAGCTTTTCCAGCATCTGCTGACAAGAAAGACAGTGGTGGTGGTGGTGGTGAGTGTGTATGCCAAATTCTTCGCTATTAGGGGGACAAAAGGTTGATGGCTATTTTTTCACAGGGCTGAACAGTAATATTATTTTACTCCATTTAACTAAAACTATGGACATCTGAACTTCTTTACCATTGTGGGCTAATGGTGTATTATATACAATATCTTCAACAGTAACACTGCGGGTTTTATCACTCATTAAACCCATGACTGACCCTGATGTATATTTATTACTACTCGTAAGAAATGGCAAACACAACATTCATTAGTTGCAAAAACATTTATAGCTATAATTTCTATGAAGATTAAAGCAATTATTTACTCACACAAAAAGGGTATCTAATTACAACAGTCTTATATCTATTTCCTGGGCAGTTTCAAGAATTCAGATGGGATCAGTCTTGACCTATGTCTTATAAGGCTACATGGATAATCTTAATTGGTAAGAGGAAGAAAAGCTCCCGGCAGAATCATGGTAACAGTACAGGAGGGTACATTTAGCAGAAGGAAGAGCAATTGGCTTAACCAGGCTACTGACCACAGACCATGAGCCGGGTTGCAGAGTTTACATTAATCTCACAGGTATTAGGAACCACATTCTTAAGCACAAGAAAAGTTAAAAACATTCATACTCAGGGCAGACTATCTTCCCTTAAAATGTTTGTTTTAAAAGACCTTGAAACAGAAGCTGGGATGCATTCCTTTACAAAGGAGCAATTCATGTATTAGAAAAAGACATGTTTAGAAAATTAAGCATTACATGCTCAATCTCACAGAGCAAAGACAATGTTTGTAACTTTAAAGTTTTTTTCTGAGAATAAAAATTGCTTTTGAAACACAAAATAGTGAATAATCAAAATGCAACTAACAATTTTAAGCTCTCTGAGGTCAAGTTTCTCTAAAATTCTCCAAATAAATTAAGGTGATAATGTCCATCTATAACTAAGAAGATATACTACTGCCTTTAAAGTTAAGTTGTCTTAATTTTTCAGAATTCTGTGTTAATCTTAACTATACTGACATTAGTTTACCTGACCAGAGAATCCTATAATACAGACATGTTTTTTTTAATGTTATTAGAAAGTACTTCAAGGCAGCCTTTGAAATGAGTGCTTTGTAAACATTATGAAATTTGGTACCTTTCCATATCCCAAAGCATGTGAGGTCTCTCTCTCTCTCTTTCTCTCTCTCTCTCTCTCTCTCTCTCTATATATATATATATATATATAAAAGCCTAATATGCAAATTGTCCCCTTGGGAGTTTGACTGGGAGACCAGGAGTTCGATCGCTCGCTATGACATGCGGTGACCACCAGGGGGTGGCGTGGGATGGACGAAGGAAGGCCCTGGCCAGCAGCTGGCAGCTGGGGAAGTGAGACCCCGGCCAGCAGCCAGAAGGCCCCAATCAGCCCTGATCACTGGCCAGGCCTAGGGACCCTACCCGTGCATGAATTTCATGCACCGGGGCCTCTAGTAGGATTATAAGATAATGACAACAATTTCACGTTACTTGTTAACTCATCTGCACTAATTTCTATTAGAACAGTAAAAAGTAAGCTTTGGACAACAGTGCCTAACGCTCTTCCTGACTTTCTTGATTACCCTGGTGACCCTTATCTAAAGCCATCTTCACTGAAAACATGACCCTTCTTTGTGAAATCTTTCCTGACATCTACTTTAAGGTCATTTACAAAATATGTAGGATGAGAAAAACACAAATGCTTGTTTGACACAAACACTACCAGATTCCACATATGTGAGCTACTCCAAATTTAGCCCTATATTGGAATTTCACACATTTATCAACATTTTCACAATTGTGCCAGGTAAACTGACAACTAAAACTTATATAACAAATCAATATCTTATTTTCCAGCAAATGCAAAGTTGATTTTTTAAAAACTGTATCTTTTTTAGGTTGCTTGCTCTTAGACAAATCTAAGAAATCAACTCTGCATTTTTAATACCATATAAATTGAAATATAATTCTTATTACTTATAAGGCTCACCTTTTCTAAAGTTTTAGTAGTAAAAAAAGTAACTAAGAACTCCTGGTGAGAATTTTAGTAAGAGTTATGATTTACTTATACTCGAGTTTGATAGAAGTACTTTGTTGATCAGATCTGAGGTTTAAAATCTCAGATTGGAAAAAAACAATTTCCCCAAACACTTTTGGCATGGAGGACTTCTGGCTCAAATTTGAGTTAATTTCTGATCCTATGTTAGTTTCCACTTCATTTAGCACAAATATAAGTCTTGTTTCAGAAACACTTTAGAGAAAAAGCAAGGGAAAAGTGTCTTCACCATAAAGACCCAATGCTACGTGCTCTTTCCAGACAAGTGTGGTGCCAGAGGCCCTCATCGAAAGAAGGCATGTGCTCTCTGCTTTAGCAAAGACAACGTCTGTGAGTTATTTCCTAACTTGATCTATTGATTAAAGGAGGCACTAATGAGATAAAGAACAGAGTTTCTCCCCTCACAAAGTTAACTGGTCTCTATGAAGACGATATCTGACTTTATCAGCACAGTGCCCCAAGGACAAGTTAACAGTATCCAAAATGAGTGACATTCTGCCAACTCCCACTTCCACAGCTGATTCTAACACAATGCACTTACTTAGCCTAATGCAAAAGAGCTACATATCATATGAGGGGTTTCATGGTTGCTTCTGCCCACCTGAGAAAAGTGCAATGACCCCCTACCTACCAATTCCTTCAAATTCTAGGAACCCTGAACACAAGAGAATCCCTTTGGTTTCAGGAATGACTTTCTGTCCATGAGTCAGATAAGTAGCTGTGCCAGAAGAAAGTATGGCCACTATCTTTCCCTCTAAATAAGATACCTTCACAACAGTGCTCCCTGGGGTTCATCAAGGAAAACTGTGCTGCTAAAAGCCAACAAAGAAACTCAAAACACTCCCTGGGCAGATCCTTCTCTTCCAGTGATTTTGATATTGTTCCTTTGGAATGTTCACTAGAAAGAACTTTTCCTTTTCTAACAGTACCATTACGACTATTAATAAAATTTCCTATAGTAGCCTCCCCAAGTCAATATTCCTGTTGTTACTGTTCAAATGATCAATTTAATACTTTTTAAAGCTACACAATATAAAAATTAGGCAGACTTCAAGACTGATAGAATGTACACTGGAGACATAATACATTTCAAATGTGGAATAAAAAAAGACCTCTATGGAATAAAAATGAATACTAGCAGCAATACGGGAGGAGCAGGAAGGGAACAGATAGTAGACTTTCTGGGAAGAGCAACATTAACTAAAGTATCTTGGTAGAAAGATAGCTCGAAGTTATACTGTGGGCTAATCTTTAGTGAGAACAGGCCCTTGGAGTCCAAGTTTCTCTCTTTCCTAATATTTTTTTCATTTTTAATGCTAAAACATCAGATAAGAGCCTACCTGACATTTTGGAGAATTTGCTGTGCTGGGATTGATATTCCGCATTGCCTATGAGTAAAAAATAAGATGGATAAAAATTACTTCAAGCCACATGGTTTGGCTATGTAGGCCGACTTACAAATTGTATCCAGACATATCACCATAGCACAGAATTCCCAAGCTAGCCCGAAGCAGCAGACTGAGGAAGACAGGAGCCAATGGAGTCACCACACAACAACTGAAACCTCTCAAGCATTGCACGGCATTGAGGACAGGACAGCAAGACTAGGTGTCAGGACCCAAATCAGGTTTGCTATTGGTCAGGTAGGTTCTTTGCTTCTGAGTATTAGGTGAAGCAGGAAAAATATAATTTGATGTTTTAGTGATAAGAGAAACTGTCGATGGAAGAAGTTCACAGAAAGCCAAAAGACTTAAGACATACGTTATTTATGCCAATTGCTAAAAAACAAAAACACCCTAAAAATATAGACTATTAGTATAAGAATAGAGCAGTTCTGTCATTTCAATGCAAGAAAAGACAACGCAGTTGGAAGTAAAGAAGAAAGAGAGCAAGAAATTACCTTCCAAGGAAATGAAGCTATTCTGTCAGGACCCCATCACCCAGAGTAAAAGTGAAAATAGAAAAATTCCTTGGAAGGAAGCGTTTTACAAGGAGCAGCATTTTGCCCACCAAAATACCACCAAAAAGACACCAAAAACAAGCCAGGCTGGTCTATAGCATACAACAAAATGACGAATAGCCCATTTCTAGACTCTTATATATAAAAATTATAAACAGCAAAACTTTGACATAAGTAATTAAATCACTTTCTTAACAAGATTCCTTGGTTTTCAGAGTCTTCCATTCATATGTGAAACTAAGACTTGTATTTACTTAGACCATCTAGTACTCAGTAACAACAAAATAAAAAGCAAGCATGGAAAACAGGCTGTGTAAAGGGTACTCTTAAATTGCTTTATTTCTCCTAAGAGCTACATGCTGGCTCCCCCTTGTTCTGATGATAAATGTTACTTAAACGAGAAATCTTTCCTTTAGAGTAATTTGTTAGTCGTTAGAGACAGAGTAAACGGGTTAATATGCTTCCTGTCCCCACCTTCTTAATGGCAGCTGAAGAAATATTTCTTGCAAGACCACTTCCTGACACCGCCTGCTGGCACAGACTCTCATACCCTCTCGGGCCCACCTTGGTGCCAGCCACACACTATCATTACACTGAGAGATTACTGACAGCACAGTTTAAAGGTGAGCCTGTCTGGGATTTCACGGCTTATTTTAATTCCTCAGCTTCCAGGTCCTCAAATCCCAAATCAGAGTTCAATTTAGTTCATTCATTTCCATTAACACTCCAGTGACACTTTTTAAATATAGCCCTCATTACAAAAAAAAGTACCTTGTTTAAACGCCCACTTCCTGGTAAGACATGTAGAGTATTATTTTTTAATATCTGTACTTAGCATGCTATGATGTAGGTGGGGGAGGGGGAGTATGGACACATGTATTTAATATTTATAAACAGATAAGAGTGTCTCTGAAAACACACACACACCCACACAAACAAGAAACTGACAGCTTTTACCGCTTATACACTTATTTTTATTACCCCCAAAATTTATATAAAACTTAAAAATAAACTGCGTTGATAAGATCACACCCCCATTATCTAGACTTTATCCCTCTCAATCAAGATAAAGTAAAAATTGATTTTTAGATGAGGGATTATCCATTCTTATGGAACATAAAGACCAACAGTACTTTCTGCAAGAAAACTGATGGAAAGGTCATAAAGGATTTTAAGATCTCTAATGTCCTTTCCTTCCCAACATTAAACAACAACAAAAAAAACCCAAAGCAGGTAATTTTTACGGAATTTTGGCACCTTCCAAACTTAGGATAACGTGTGTTATGTTTTAAAAGTCTTAGATTGAGCAATACTGATAGTTGTCATATGAAAAATATACTGGAGTATTTCCCCAGGTAAAATAATTCATTTAAAGTAAAAGATGTTTTTCCCTAAGTGATGTCCCAGAGTTTCCCCGTTAGTGAATGTTCAGAATAGTAATCCGCAGAAGCACAGTAATCTACAATTCCATGTACATGTGAAGAAGCACCCTTGCTTCCTTCAATTTTTGCGTGGCTGCAATGACCATGGCCCAAACCTCTCTTTGTGATACAGTTTTACATGTTACAGTCCATGTGATCAAAGCCCAGTCAAGAAACTAAACTAAGACAAGGACAGAGCTGGATAGAGTGTTTCTCTGTCACTCTAGTTTTAGAGAAACATTCCTCTAACTAATAAATGAAATACATCCAACTTCATTTTGAAAACAGATCCCAAAAAGTGGAAGGCTGGTTTCTAACCTGTGGCCTCACCTGCCGAAGCAGTTCTTGCTGCTTCAGTCGCAGTCTCTCTTTCTCCATCTGCAGTTGCTGCAGCCGCATCTGTTGCTGCTGGTTGGAGTTGCCGCCACCCAGGACTCCTCCCTGAGGGCTCTGGGGAGCCAGCGGTGGTGGCTGTTTCACTGGAGCACTTTGACTGATTCTCTGGTTCATGGCTGAAATGAAACAAAAGATGCGTCCTAAAAGACTAGCAAAGGAAAGAGGTATTTAGTTATTCAAAGCAAATGGGAATATTAGTCTTTTTCTGTAGTAAATCTGGAAATAACCTAAAAACCTATCCGTAGTGAAATGGTTATGTTGATTTATTACTACTGTTAGTCATGCTGTTACAAGCTGCAAGGCAGCCACAGAGAAAAGACACAAGGGGCAGCTCCAATGGGCAATGAATGACAAGGAACAGTCTAGGACACATGAAGTTAAAAGCAAAGTGCAGAGCAGAGAGTACCAAAAAAGGGGGGAAATGTACACTACATGCCTATCCAGAGAATATGAATTGAACAGCAGCCAAGAAACAACCAGTACACGTTGGCTCTGGATCTGGGAAACTGTGTGACTAAAGGACTGAGTAGAAGAGAGACATTTTCTGTAACTTTTTGAAGTTTGAATGGTATGCATGCATTGCTTATTACAAAATAGAAATACATATTTAATTAAAAAATACATCTCCCACCCTGGCCAGGTAGCTCAGTTGGTTAGAGCATCTTCCATATATGCCAAGGTTGTGGGTTCGATCCTTGGTCAGGGCACATACAAGAAACTAATGAATGCATAAAAAGTGGAACAACAAATCAACGGTTCCCTCTCTCAGATCAGTTAAAAAAAATCAAAAAATCAAAAAACCATAAACATCGCCCAAAGCAAGTGAGACAAAACATTCTGAGCAGTAAAGCCCATCAAAATTATCCTTGCCCCACGTGGAGTGTTGTCCCATACACCACAAAGGTTGCAGGTTCAACCCTTGGTGAGGGCACATACAGAAGGCAACTGATGTTTCTCTCTCTCTCTCTCTCTCTCTCTCTCTCTCTCTCTCTCTCTCTCCCTTCCTCTCTGTCAAAAATCAATAAACAGCTTTTCTGGCGGTGACAACCTCCCCACGACAACATGCCTCTCGCCAAGGATCTCCTCCACCCCTCCCCAGAAGAGGAGAAGAGGAAGCACAAGAAGCGCTTGGTGCAGAGCCCCAATTCCTACTTCATGGATGTGAAGTGCCCAGGAAGCTATAAAATCACCACCGTCTTTAGCCATGCACAAACGGTAGTTGTGTGCGTTGGTTGCTCCACTGTGCTCTGTCAGCCAACAGGAGGAAAAGCAAGGCTTACAGAAGGATGCTCCTTCAGAAGGAAGTAGCACTAAAAGCACCTCAAATCAAGATGAGTGGGAAACCATCCCAATAAACACATTTTGGATATAAAAAAAAAATCAATAAACATATCCTCAAGTGAGGATTAAAAAATATTATCAATCTGTAATATATCCTAAAATATATAACTACTAGAGGCCTGATGCACGAAATTCGTACAAGGGGTTCGGCCCTCGCAGCCACAGCGGTTTGCTTCGGCCCTCGCAGCCCCGGCTTCATCTGGGAGGTTGTCTGAAAGGATGTCTGGAAGGTTGTTCGGCTGCCTGGTCTAATTAGCATATTATGCTTTTATTATTATAGACTATATAAAACCCTAATATGCAAATAGACCGAACGGTGGAATGATGGGTTGCTATGACACTCACTGACCACCAGGGGGCAGACGCTCAATGTAGGAGCTGCTCCAGCCCCCGACCGGCAGCAGTGGGGCGGGGGGGGGGCGGTGGCAGCAAGTGGGCGACACCAGGCCAGTCAAAGTGGGTGCGAGCAGGGGCCCTGATCACCCCGCCGGTCATCCCACAGATCGGCCCTGATCACCAGCCAGGCCTAGGGACCCTACCCGTGCATGAATTTCATGCACCGGGTCTCTAGTACACTTATAATAAAGTATATTACAATGATCTGATGCATGCTAAAAATAAAATAAGCCTACAAACATCTGGGTGGCGGAGATCTGTCTCATTCAACACCATGATACCCCCAATACAGCCCAGGTAGTCACTATTTTTTCAGTTGAACCTACATTACACCATCTAACAATAAGAAATGGACTGGATTCTTATGCTAGTGAATTTCAGTCACTGATACAACCACACTGTGAATTGTGGTAATCTCGGTAAGCAGATGGAAGTTTTATTATGTGAAAATGTTAAGAATAATGTATCACCTTTTCAGACATTCAAATTAAACTTTTTTTTAAAAAAATCTTTATTGTTGAGAGTATTACAGATGTCCCTCTTTCTTCCCCCATAGTCTACCTCCACCTGGTTTCCGCCTCACCCTAGGCATTCACTGCCCTATTATCTGTGTCCATTGGTAATGCATATATGCCTAAGACCTTTGGTTAATCTCTTCCTGGCCCCTTTCCCTTTGAGACTTGTCAGTCTGTTCCATATTTCCATGCCTCTGATTCTTTTATTCATCAGTTTATTTTGTTCATTATACTTTTTATTTTAATTTTTAGGTTCAATTGTTGATTGAGAGATATGTATTTATTGTCATTTTATTGTTCATATTTTAAAAAAAATATATTTTATTGATTTCAGAGAAGGGGGGAGAGAGAGAGAGAGAGAGAGAGAGAGAGAGAGAAACATCAACGATGAGAGAGAATCATTGATCGGCTGCCTCCTGCATGCCCCCTACTGGGAATCGAACCTGGGACCCTTCAGTCCGCAGGCTGACGTTCTATCCACTGAGCAAAACCAGCTAGGGATATATATATATCAATCATTTTCTTCTTCTTCTTCCTCTTCTTAAAGAATACCCTTCAACATTTCATATAATACTGATTTGGTGATGAATTTCTTTAGCTTCTTCTTGTCTGTGAAGCTCTTTATCTGATCTTCGATTCTAAATGAGAGCTTTGCTGGGTAGAGTAATCTTGGTTATAGGTCCTTGCTTTTCATCACTTTGAATATTTCTTGCCACTCCCTTCTGGCCTGCAAAGTTTCTGTTGAGAAATCAGCTGGTCATATGGGTGCTCCTTGTAGATGACTAACAGCTTTTCTCTTGCTGCTTTTGTCTTTAACCCTTGGCATTTTAATTATGATGTGTCTTGGTATGGGTCTTTTTGGGTTTCTCTTGTTTGGGACTCTCTATGCTTCCTGCACCTGTAAGTCTATTTCTTTCACCAGGTAGGGGAAGTTTTCTGTCATTTCTTCAAATTATCCCCATAATTCGAATGTTGGTACACTTGAAGTTGTCCCAGAGGCTCCTTACACTATCTTCATATTTTTGGATTCTTTTTTCTTTTTGCTCTTCTGATTGGGTGTTTTTTGCTTCCTCATATAACCGATCATTTATTTGAGTCTTGGAATCCTCTACTCTATTACTGAATTCCTGTAAATTATTCTTTATTTCAGTTCCACAGAAGCCACTTGGTAAACACTAAGTCTTCCTCCTCAGTCTTTCCCAGAGTCCGTTATGAACAATAAGAACTGTCTTACCTCAGGACTTTTCCATTTGACATTTCTCACAGGACTGTAATTTTTTATTTACAAATTTGTATACACTCTCTTAGACTGGAGTGCCACAGGAGTGGGGAGATAATCACATATATATCCTTAGTGCCTAGCACAGGGTCTGGCACAAAGTTTGTGCTAAAAAAAACTATTAAAATGTTCCTAAGTTGAGTATTCACTGAGGCAGAAATTTAACTATTTAAGATACAACAATACAGAAATCCTACCCATTTCCCTTTAGACTGACCAACTCTTCTGAGTCCAGCAAGACATAAGTAAGAACCAAGGATACTAGAAGAAAAATTACAGAGCAACCTCCCTCAGATGCCTTAAAATTCAACCTACTGATTCATAAAGTTTCCAATTTTTTTGAGTCATTTTTTTGTCCTTCAGATATTTCTTTTGGTGTAAATAGTAAGATCACTGTGGTTAAAAGTCACTTGAAATAATTCCTCTCTGCGTGACTCAGCCAACAACTCTATATATGGTTCACTTGTGAGTTTGCTTTTGAATTTTAGAGACTTATTCTACTTCCCACCCACCATCCTCCTATCGCCAAGAGATAACTGTTACCATTTTGCTTATTAAATAGAAAAGGGCGAAGTGGAGTCAAGTATTCATAGGATACTAACATATATCTAAGAAGTTGCTGTGTGTTTGCTTAGATTTTAAAGAATAGAATAATGTATACGTGAGTTCACTCCAAAACAATATATAGAGGTTTTTCCCATTTTCTTTTTTAAATAGTTGATTAGTATTCCACTCAACCAATTCTCTACTATGTCTTCACTATTACTAAAGAGTACCATACAGAAGAAGCTCAGACATACATACTTTTGTATTTCTACTACTGTATCTTTGGGGTAGAGTCCTAGATTGGAGAGATTGCTGAGTCACTGGTTAAAAACATAAGTAACATTGCCAAGTCATCTCCCATTCCCCGTACTCATAGGGGTTGTACTTTGTTGTAGCTCAATAAGTAATATATGAAGAGTATCTTCTTATCCATCACAGTCTTGGATTTTTACCATTCTGAAAGATGAGAAATGGTTTCACAGTATTTTGCTTTGTCTTATTATAGAAGCTTGGTCACTTTCCACATTTTAAAGGGCCACTTGAATTTTTATATGAATTACCTTTTCCTTTTTTAGACAACCTTTATATACTAGGGATAAAAAACCAAAAACACCTTTGTCATATGTAAGTAAAAACTAATTTCCCTCAGCTTATTATATCTTTTTAGTTTGCTTATTTTTTCCATAAGTTTATTTTTTAAGTTGTCAAATTCATCAATATATTTTGAAATTTGAGCTATAGTCTCTCCACTCCCAGGTGAATGAGGAATTCATCAATCTTTAAATTAAAAACTATATGGTTCCACTTTATCAATTTAATTCTTTGGCAATTCAATCTATTTTGGAATTAGACCGTATGAAGGGGCCTAATTTATCTTTCTTCATGACTATCCATTAGTTCTGACACCACTCATGGAAAGTATATCCTTCCACCAATCATCTTTAACAGTTAAATCTCCTTAGTTATTTTGTTTTTGGATTTCCTATCTTACTCTTTATGTGTGTTACTCTTATATTAGGCACAACACTTTTAATTACAACTTTTATGTTTTAATAGCTGATAGGGCAAGCCATTTTTTTTAAAGCTAACTTACTATTGGGATCTAATGTAAGTGCATGTGGTTAAAATAACATGGTCTGTATACTGATTCTCGAAATTCGTGACCTGACATGTGGTCCTTGCTTTTGTACTAGGCTAGGGCCAGTGGGTTCTACACAGGGTTTCTGTCCCTCCTCCTTTGTTCTTAACTCTGAGTTCCTGATATCCGCAGGACCCGACTGGCCCCTACGCCTGGCAGGCCCCTAGCCCCGCCCTTGCTTACTGCTGCTCTGTGGAGTTTCATTTTCTGACCTACAGAGATTGTGACCCAGTTATGTCTTTTTGGTTATCTCTTTCAAATATTTTGTCTGGCAGAGCAGAGAAAGATGTCAAAATATGACAGACATACTGCTCCATACTATCAAAGCCTTAATTAATCTTTTATGTGGAAAAAAGGCCAGACTTATTTATGAAATGTCTTTACAAAGAACTAATTGCTAAAACTTTCATAACTATGGTTTATAGTTTAGTATTTTATAGGGGAATACATGGGAAAAAGGCCCCCAAAAATTGAGAGCTAACATTTGTCAGGCACCAATCAATAATCTCATTTAATACAATTGCTTGTATCTATCTACCTGTCACCAACATTAGATGCACAACTGACAGGCATCATAGTATGATATAAAAAACACAGCCTGTAGAGGCAACAAACCACAACTAGAATTGAGTACACCAATTTAGTAATTCATCTAATTTTTGGTTTCCTCAACTGCAGGGGTGGGCAAAAGTAGGCTTACAGTTGTGAATATGCAAAGCAGAGTTTATTCCTGTATTATTTAATTACTGAATAATTTTTCCTGTTGAATAATTTTCCATAAACCTATTTTTGCCAACCCTTGGATAGCTGGGGATATTAACATTTCCCTTTTGGAGAGAGACCAAGATGGTGGCATAAGTAAACACCGGAGACTGCTGCCGCAAACAACCACTTCAAAAATACAACTAAAAGACGGAACGGACATCACCCAGAACCACAGGAAGGCTGGCTGAGGAGAGACTCTTCAACTAGAAGGAAAAACAACAGCACACCGAGGCTCAGAGGAGGCGCAGTGTGGAAAATACTCAGGTGCAGAGGTGCGCGCGCAAAGCGGGCTGGTGGCTGAGGGCGCGGTTGTCGTTTTCAATCAGGAGGGAGTCTCAGACTCTGAGCTCCAGATCTGGGCGAATCTCCAGGGACTCAGACTCAAACGG